GGGCTGGATTGCTCTGTGTACCCATTGGAAACTTCATATGTTCAATGTCTTGTTTCAGAGAATTCAGGGAACCAAATATTTCTTCCATTCCATCTGCATAATCAATAATATTATCCCCTGCATCAGACTGAATGCTTTCAGTATGTCTTCTTGTCTTTTTAGGTGACAAAATCGGTAATGGCTGGATGACTTCTCCAGGAGGACCCTAGAAGGGAATTGATAAGAACATGATTATTTCAGAAAACAAAACATTCTGTGAATTTACTTACTACTTACTATATTCTTTTGAGGAAATATTTGGCTTAGCTATCAGTAGCTAAAGTGATATATGATATATATAAAAACATTATTCTATGCATATCTATTATTATAATATATATTATATATTATATATAGTTTTTTAAAAGAACACAGTACAGATATTGAGGTAGGTATACAAATCATATCATTGCTGCTACATTATCTGTAAACTATCATAGTTTAGAATTCTGTTGACATATTATACTGCCATTTATTAAATTAGTCTTGACTTATATATCATATCCACAGCTAGATATTAGAATTTCTGGGGAACTGAACACTGTTACAAAGCTCTTAGGTTATCCTGATTTTGTCCATTTTATTCAATAATAACTTAGTTTCTGAAGGCTTAAAAAATCTGCTCACTATCATATTCAAATATGTATAGACTTACATTATCCTATATTACTCAGGAATTAAATCAACTTGAACTATCCATTTGTGAGAGTAGAACCACGCCAACAGTTAATGTACATCGTCACTGGTTAAATCGTGCCCCATGTATATGTACACAGAGTATTTCTGATCTTCAGCACAATAATTCAGAATGAAATCTTTCTTATAACTGGGATGGTTAAAGATATGATTAAATAAGATGAAGTCACTGGGGGTGGCCTAGTGCATTATGACTGGTGTTCTTATGATAAAAAGAAATATTGCTACAGAAACACAGATCTAGGCAAGGTTGAGGGACCAGGACAAGGATGTCATGTATAAACTTAGAAGTTGAACATAATTTCTTCCCCCATAGCTTCCTCGAGGAAACCAAGTCAGTGACTCTTAGGATTCCCAGCCTCCACAGTGGCTCTCTGCTCATCTTTGGCTCTGTGGTCTGGCTAAATCAATAGACATGCAGTTGGAGACAGTTGAGGTAAAAGCAAACCAACAAAATTCCAGAAAACAGAATACTATTTCTTATACAGAGGTCTACACTTTAATACTAACACTTTGGAAAATGTCATTGCCAATAAATAGCAGTTGCTTAGTTATTATTGTTTCATCTACTGCTGCCAATATATGCAGTAGGACAAACACCCTGGGATATGTGAGTTTTCATCTTTACTTCTGGAGTCAGTTATAAATATATTTCTGTGGGCATATATTCTGTGAGTCTTATTACATGTGACCAAAGTGTGCATGGTTTTCCTGAAAAATTGATGTTTATTATAGTATACAATTAAGAAATCTTTATATTTAAGGAGTGCCATCAATTTAAACATGAATCTTGACATGTAGATTGATTACCTAAGGGGCCTAGCTTCATTTTCCTACAAAATCAATGTTTTGAACAGAATGTGCTTTTCTCTTTGTCATGTTAAGCCCAGAGAAACAATTGCCTGCATCCATATGCCTACTAATGGAGTATTTTTCTTAATAACAAACACTTACTGGAGGCCCAGGAGGCCCTGGCAGACCACTGTCACCCTTCTGGCCAGTAGGTCCCTGTGAGAAAGAAAACAGGAAAATTTATGAAGTGAGGGAGAAATTCCTCAGGCTTCACTGAAGCATTAATATGAACATGAGAGAAGCACTCACAGAAGATCCTTTGTTACCCTTCGGGCCAGCAGGACCCTAGAAAACACAAACACAAAAACGCAGGTAAAAGTGTGGACTACAGGTTGCACTGACATGCTTCTCATTTTACCTCATGTTTCTTTTCTCTTCAACTTACTGGTAATCCAGGAGGACCAGGAGGGCCTATGGGACCAGCAGGACCTGGGATGCCCTAGAGGGAGAAACAGTATCACCCTTAATTAGGTTCTTGGTTCACTTCATTTTCATGTTTTGCCACATCTATTGCGAAGCTCTGAAAATTTAAAAATATCTGAGAGTTTTTTATTATGAATAAGAGAGACTTTTTTGTGTCAATTCAAGCTTTTTGCCATTCACTGCAATATAGGGCATTCACATTATGTTTCTATCATGAAGACTACATGGACGTACATTCTGGCATCCCTGTAGTTTTCAAAATAAGGTCTGCATGAGATGTGGATTCAAGAACAGTTTGTACAAGTGTCTACAGCATTGTCCCTTTTTATTATTTTAACTTGAATCCTATTTTTAATTTATGAAAATATTTAAAAACAGCATGGGTTAAATCAGACTAGAGCAAGGATGATCTAAAGCACTCCGAGGATCATGAGGAAAACACGTGTGATTGCACAGCTGCATTTGTGCTGATATAAGGAAGTGGGAGAGCCATCTGCATGGTACTCACCCCATCCCCTTTGGCTCCTGGAGAACCTTGAGTCCCAGGGAGTCCTCTGTCACCTTTCTCCCCTTGTTCTCCTGGAGGGCCAATCAATCCAATTAATCCAGGATGTCCCTATAGCAAACAAAGAAAACAAACTTTAGTTACATAATATATAAGTTATAGCCATGATTAAATTCTAGTCATAAAATATTTTAATATTAAATTTTTATGAAATATACTATCAAAGGAATGTAGGGATTTTTTCACAACATTTCTGTATGAAATTTAAAGTTTAGAACCTCCATCTAATACAGTGGACCATTTATTGTTTACAGGCAGAGCAGATGAAAGAGCTTTCTAAAAATAATAATCATCATCATTAGTGCTTCATTTGTGATAAAATTAAAAAAAATAATGTTCGAATGGAGTATTGGTAACATAAAAACCAAAGAACTCATTACTTTAGTAAGCATCTCCTTTAATATGTAATGTTTCCTAATCTTTGGGGGCTGTTTCGTCTTTAAAGAGTTCTAGAGATATAAAACCATTCAAATCCTACTAATTCCATTATGCAAATGGTTCATTTTCCTTATGTGGTGAAATACAATATAAATTCTGGGATTACTTGAAAAACAATCCTAGTTTAAAACTTTTACTTTCCTGTTTAAAAAGATAAAAATGGTCACTGCTATTGGGGAGTTATTTCGAATTACCACATTCTCTCTCCATACAGTATCTAAAAGCAATCATTAAGAAAAAACAGCTGGGGAACATACATCAGACCAAACTAGGCCTCCTGAATGTGGCTGTCAGTTGGGAGGCTTGGGCAGTCTTTGGGGTCACTGGCAGTGAACCCAGTAATCATCCCTATCGTACAAACTAGGTTTTTGGAGCTCATTCCCTATGGAGGGATACTCTCTCAGCCTAAATACAGGGTGGGGTGGAGGGGGGACGGGGAGTACCTAGGACAGGAGGGAAAGGGGACTGAGATTGGTATGTAAAATAAGATTTTTTTAATTTAAATTTTAAAAATTAAATACTCCCATGCTGGAGTATTTTTTTTTCACTATCTGCACACTTTTCTTCTAAATACATTTGAGAATCTAAGAATTGTTATCTTTATCCATAATCAGAATGACAGGGGTAGAGTTTGAAAATGCCATTTAAGTGACTTTGAGAAAGTTATCATTTCTGCTATTACTGTTATAAAATCGTAATGACATATTTTACTCTTACCTTTTCACCCTTGGAGCCAGGGTCACCTTTGAGACCAGGTAAACCAGGAGGTCCCTGGATAAAAAGAAAACAAATAAATGTACTGATAATGAGTATTATGTTTCTAATGTGAAATGTCTCCCACAATACCCTGTGTTTGATTCTGTTTCCCTTTGGTTTTGTTCTTCTGGAAGGATATAGAGCTCTGGGCTCTAGGCCTAGTGGCTGACACACAGCTGTAGGGATGGGCAGGAGGGCTATAGGCTGCCAGGGTAGGACCTCTTCTCTGCTTTCTGTGCAGCCTTCCTTACATGAGCACATTGTCTTAGGCTCCTGCATTCGGGACAGTAGCTGGTCCCAGTCACTACGTCTTTCCTGCCTTGCACCTTAGAGCCAAAACAAATCCTTCTTTTTCCAAGTTGCTTCAGGCAAGTACTGTGTCACAATGTCCAAAAAAAGACTGTGGACCAAAAATTCATATTTGAGTTACAGAGCAGGTTTGTTTCTTTTGAATACAGAGTTCAGTCCAGGTTAATCATAATTGGTGTTATCGAATTTGTCAGGATTATAGAGAAATTCATGGCCTTTAAATATCATGCAGTTAATGAGTAATCGTATTACTGATAGTTTTGATTAAATAAATGTATGTGAAATTTGAAATAAGATACAATTTATATGTATTTTCATCTGCAAGACAGCATAAATTATTAGTAATAAAAATTGAAGCAGAATGGATTTACAAATTATACATGAAGTCCATCAGTATTTCTAATGTAAACACTAATTTCAAAGGTTATAATATTTTCAGTAAAATTAAAACATAATTCTCAAGATTTTAATAATCAAATGATATTTGAAAACACAGAAAGAGTCAGATAAATATTATGTTGTTGTGTTTCAATAACAAGTATATTGGGATGACTTAGAATAGTATCTAACCTATAGAGAAGTGAAAGATGACTTCTGGGTATCAGTTTGAAACCCTAAGAGGCTTTGACTAAGTCTCTGAATTCTTATTTCAACTTCTGTTTATACTCTCTTGAAAATAAGCTGATTTAACTGTGATCTTTGGAAGGACATATACATTAAATGCTCAATGATGCCAATGTAATTTAATCCTACATCTTCAATATTCACAGCAACAATAAAAAAAAGTAGTTTCTGTGTCTGTTAACTTGTTAGAAACAGTCAATTATGTTATAAGAATTGACATGGAATTCAAATCCAGTAATTAGGTTGAAAGCCCAACATTCTTTCAGCCTGTCAAATTGAACTTCTCAGAGTGGTGACGATAACCAAGGAGAAGGTAGTGTTACTTAGCAAGGTAAGGCAATATGTATCAGAGAATGACAAGGCAATTTAGCAAACATTGAAGGTGAATCTCAAAGGAAGTGCACTGAATTAGATTCCAAAAATTTAAAGACAGGAAAGGCTCCTACACAGAAGACAGGGGAATGAGTGAAAACAACATCCATTATAAGAATTTACTGAACAGAACTGAGGAGTTAAAAGAAACGCTTAAACCTTCTCAAATCTTAATTGAAAATCCTCATGAGCCAGAAATGGTTTTAGCAAATTGTAATACAGTGCTTTGACTGCAGCCATATTTTAGAATACATGATACTTGATTTGATACTTTTTCTTTGCTTTTTTTTTTTTTTTTGGTTTTTCAAGACAGGGTTTCTCTGATTAGCTTTGGAGTCTATTTTGGCATTAGCTCTGTAGACCAGGCTGGCCTCCAAACTCACAGAGATCCACCTCTGCCTTCCAAGTCCTGGGATTAAAGGCCCTTTTCTTTGCCTTAAAAGTTTATTGTGATTAAAATGTTTGCAAACTAAGGACTCTAGAAAGATCAAGTGGATGCCCTGGGGTTGAAAGTCACAGGACCAACATATCAATTATGCTTCTAGATGGCAAAGTCAAGAGAATCTGCATGCTTCAGATTAGCAATAGATTATCCCAAGCTTTAGAAATGGCCAATGTAATACAATTGCTTTTATTAACAAAGAAGCAGACATGAGCTTACAAACTGACAGGAAAATACAAAGACTTGACCTAGAGTTTATAGATTTCACCCAACATTATTTTCTTCTTCCATTACATAGAAAAGAACACACATGAAATGTAAGGTTTACATCATCAGTTAAGTAATTGGAGTTTGTTACTAGTCATTTATTGGAGAAACCCCTCATAATTCTTCAACTTTTGAAACTGTTATAACAGTGGATACTATTAGCTTTTCTTAACTATTCTTCCCAAAATACATGTTAAGCATAATCTCTAAATTAAAAGCTTTATCTGGAAACATAAACTGAAATATAAAGAAATGTACTTCTTCCATACTAATTTATCTCATACAAATTGAACATTTCATAGTACAAAGCTAAAACATGCCTCCATCAAATATTTCAAGTAAAGTGTGACATGATGCTAGCACCTAACAGCTTAATCACAGAGATGTTCAAATGGATGACCAAGGGATAAACTTTTATAAGCTAACATGGTTTTTTCAAACTTAAAATCCAGAATTTGTTAGGAACACATTGAGGTATTAAAAAAAAAGTCTGTGTACTTTCTGAACCATTGAAAATGAAACTCTTGAGCAAACAGAGGGATTGAAGGAAAAGATCATTTATTTGATTCCTTGAGGTTTCTTTGGTGTTGCTTTTTCTTCTCTCTCATCCAGTATTGATCTCCCTCCCTCCTCATTTACAGCAAATTATCTGTTATTTTGTTTCCTACCACCTATATCTTACTAATTTTCTCATACTCGTGTGTGTGTGTGTGTGTGTGTGTGTGTGTGTGTGTGTGTGATTAGCATTGGCTAATCAAAAAGAACCAGCAAAAATAGTATAGCACACTTTTCAAATGGCTTTACATGAATCTCCAGCAGCACGTGAATAATATATATGGATAAGAGAAGTCATCAAATAATAACATACTGATCTGATGGCATCATTGGCATAGGTATCACACTCAGTGTTAGAACAAAGAGGTGCGAAAGCATGACTAAGAAGTTCTAACAAAAATAATTGCAGTAAAGTGCCACACATTTGTATAAGTAGCAGAAACCACTAAGAATCCTGGTTGAATCTGACACATGCCAATCAGAAATTAGCACATTATCTATGTATGGAAAATATGAAAAGGGGCCATATTTCTTTCTTTATTTTAAAGATTTATTTATTTATTATGTACACAATGTTCTGTCTGCATATATGTCTACAATCCAGAAGAGGGCACCAGATTTCACTACAGATGGTTGTGAGCCACCATGTGGTTGCTGGGAATTGAACTCAGCATCTTTGGAAGAGCAGGCAGTGCTCTTAACCACTGAGCCATCTCTCCAGCCCCCATATTTCTTCTTTACTCATTTTGCACTCAGTCTATCAGATAGATGAGACAGTTTATAGAAATTCTTCTGTCAGAAGGAAAACTGACATACACACTCAATGGGCATCCACACATGTTCAAATCAAATACCTTCCACCCCTGAGATTATTCACAATATTTAATAATAACACTATGTTAATGTTAACAAAATGAAAAGAGAAATCTTGCTTAAAATCTGCCTAAAATATACCAAAGCACAGTGCAAATCTTACCACAACTTTCTTACTCCATAATAACTGTAAGGGGAAATGTTAGAAATTCTAATTGCTCAGGAGTAAGAAGAAATGTACTAGATATTGTTCGAGTGTTTAATCTATTTTTAAGTATCTTCTATAAATATTGTTCATAAAGGTGTTCACAGGTAAATGACATTATTATAAATTGATAAGATCCTAAAAAATTATAGACCATGCTAGATATGATACTGCTAATACAAATTAGTCTTATGTTTTCAGTGACTAGAAACAGACATTAGTGATGTCATGACAGTGAAAACAGTTATAAATCTCTTTTTGTATTGAAGAGATTAAAAACTTCAACTCTCCATATAAAAATATGATTCCAAGTGTTTGTACTTAGTATTTCTTATTAAAGATATTGTAAATAGAAAGCCCTTAAGGGAATACATAATTCATAACCAATAAAAAGAAAAGAAATACCCCATCCATGCATTTATAAATGCCCAAAATGCACAAGGGAAAACTCATCCCTGAACTGTTATACCCTGCGAAATATCTGCCTTGACCTACAACTCAGAACTGTAAAGCATCGGGTTATAAGAAAACTGTACACCTCAAACACAACTCAGAAGATAATACTAAGAAGGAGTGCTGAAATTTGCAAAAAAGCAAATATCCTAACATTTACACATTTAATCACTATATATTGTCACATATTACAACTCTGTAACAGAGTTTATGTGGAGCATCAAATAAAAATTTTAAACTATAATTCAGTAACCCATCTTCCTTTTATTTAGAGTTGTATGTTTAAATTTTGATGCTGTCTGGTATTTATCATTTTCTTAAAAGAAGACAACTATGATATTAAAATTGACAAAAAACTTACTCTTCCAGCATCCTTGCAATTAGTAGGTGCTTAATATAAAAGAATATGAAACAAACTTTTTAAACCACTACAGCATTAGATATGCTTGCAGACATCAAATGCATGCTTTTTAAATTATTCAACAATGTTACCTTGATGTTCTAGTGAACATCTGAATTTATTTAATATTCTTTGTTTTTTGAGACACACCCATTTAAGACTTCTTGATTGCTTACAGAGTAATTCTACTTACAAAGCACACAGTCTTATCATTGTCTTTTCAGTTTTCTGTTAGATTCAGTGATGTGTTTGTGTTTAGTTCTCTGGAGTGTGTGTGTGTGTGTGTGTGTGTGTGTGTGTGTGTGTGTGTGTGTGTGTGTGTTGATACTACACAGATATAGATGATAGATATAGATATAAAGGGAGGATATGAAAAGAGTTAAGTTACATATTACCATAGAAGCTTACTTTTATAGCTGAGCATGAGTCTCTTTTTTTTTTTTTTTTTTTTTTTTTTTTTTTTTAGACATGGTTTCTCTGTGTAGCTTTGGAGCCTATCCTGGCACTCGCTCTGGAGACCAGGCTGGCCTCCAACTCACAGAGATCCTCCAGCCTCTGCCTCCCCAGTGCTGGGATTAAAGGCATGCGCCACCAATGCCCCGCTAAGTCACTCTTTAATATAGTACCTGGGATCTGAGGCAAGATCTCAAATCAAAGATAGCTCTACATAGAGAAATTATGGCCAACCTAGACTATATAAAGAGGTTACTTATTACAAACTGTTTAAAAAACACTTTCTTTTTAAGAAAACAAGAATGTTCTGATAGGATCTATGGTCAAACATTTCTATAAAGGAAGTTAAGGGCAACTTCTAGAAGCAGAAAAAAGACTTTATAGTGAGATAGCTGTGGAGATCTATCTGAATAGCTTGGATGTGTGAATGTATTTATAATTAGGAGGAAAACATAATATGAATAAAGAATTATTCAGATAATTTTTTGTTTTGTTTTTGTTTTTCGAGACAGGGTTTCTCTGTCTAGCTTTGGAGCCTATCCTGGCGCTCGCTCTGGAGACCAGGCTGGCCTCAAACTCACAGAGATCCGCCAGCCTCTGCCTACCAAGTGCTGAGATTAAAGGTGTGCGCCACCAACGTCCGGCCTCAGATAAATTTCAAGTGCATTAGTTTTTAAGTCCAATGTAAACTTATCTGAACTTTCAAATATTTTAGTTTCACCTCCCACATTTATCCTCACTTAAGACTCTCTACTTTCTTAGTTACTGGAAGCAAACACCCAGGAGACCTGGGAATGACATCCTCTGCTTGCCTGACACAGGACTTACAAGTTACATCATAGCTGCTCTAAGAATAATCCCACTTGCCTTGTCAGCAACTTTTTTTTTTTTAAAACAGGTTTCTCTGTGTAGCTTTGGAGCCAGTCCAGGAACCACCCAGTAGACCAGGCTGGCCTCAAACCTCAAACCCAAAGAGATCTGCCAGAGTGCTGGGATTAGAGTGTGTCACCACCACCTGGCCTTGTCAGCAATTTCTAATCCAGAGTATTGGCTCTACATAAATGTGAATTTAGGTACCATTTAGCCACATTCAATAAAAGTACAACAACACTGGTTATTTCTAAATATTTACAACTATCTCCTTCATTTGACAATTCTTTGGTCAGTGATATTTCTATCCATTAGTTGTGTATGTGCTTTACATGGAGCTCACTTTATAAACATAAGAACCAATCAAGAGGAAAATACCATCTCTATTAACTTTAATTAAACTGTATATCATTTTATGGGATAGGGTCATATGCCCTTAGTATTCTCTCTTTGAAAACATAGAGGTTAGTGACGGAGCTGGCATCCTAATGTTATCCCACAATCACATAAGATTGATAATTTATTTTTAAACAATGTATTTGTCTTGAAAGTGAACTAATTTAACCTGTATCAATAATAACACCTCTCACTCTGATTAAAACATGTTACTTCTACAATAAATCTTTCTTAGCTAAGTAGAAAAGCTCATTCATTATACACGGTATTCTGCAGATGCCTTCACTACATGGTGTCACATCACAATATTCCTAAATGAAAGCAGCAGCCAGGGATGAGCATGAGTGTGTTGGGCCCTCCTAATGCTTACCATTGCAATTTTCCAAAAATGATTTGAATTGTTCATCCTTCTCATACTGTAAACTCACATTTGCTTAAGCATTAGAAATAGAAATTTTGCAGACTTTAATCAGCTAGTGTGTCTGATGGTTTTATTTTTAACATTAGCTGAAGGAAATCTGCAGCAAGGAGCTTCTATTTCATTTGCTGAAAGGTCAAAATGCTTATTGGAGAATCTAACAGTACAAGGGAAAAAAAAGAACCCAGTTGAATTTTAAGGTGATATTTAGGGAAGGCATTTTGCTATCAGACTCTGAGTCTGCAGTTACGACTTTTCCACATCACAGGAGAATAGCCATGAAGACCTGGAGCTAATCCAGCTTCACCCAGGGCTCAGTTTCTATGAAATGAGATTATGTATAGAGTAGATAACTAGTAATCTCCTGTATCAAGTCAACTAAGGATTTGAAAACATCTATCCATTTATTGAGTAAGCAATCTAAGTTGTCCAGGGCAAGTTTCAAATGATTTTAACACTTAGTGAATTTTGTCATGGCTATTTTATTACGAGAAGTTTCCTCAACAAAATGAATAGCTGAATAAGTCCGAATAATTAGAATGCAGTTCTAGTTCTGATGTTTGCTGAATATGTATATATACTAAGTAAAAACTATGTTCAGGATAAGGGCGACACAAAAAAGTTCCAGTTACTTCAAGAAAGTATTTGATTGTTTAAAATAAACTGTATCATACTCCCTTATTGGTATGAGTATTGTTTACTTTTTTGATTAATACTTCAGACATAATTATATAAAAATCAACATCAAAAACTTCTACAAATTGAGTCAATTTGTAAATTAAACAATTATTTTAAAGGACATGTTTTCATTCTTACTTCATGTCCATTTTGAATCAAGAAATACTTTGGACTCTAAGAATGTTGGTCAAGCCCATGCTTCATTGCACTGACCAATCAATCTGTTTGTGTGTGGAATTCATTGTTCAACTTCAGCATAAAAAGTCACATGCTTTTTAAAAGCTCAGGATAATGTCCTGTTTCTGAACCTATTTATCTCAAAAAGAAAACCATCTATTTGAGCAGCTACCACTTTTGGTGCTGACATTTCTCCCTAAGTGAAAGCCCAGAAATAAAGTTTAATCACATGTACCTTGGGAAACCATCTGCATTGAGAAAAAAACTGGTTACACCATAAGTAGCATTTTCCTCTGAGTAGAAAAGATATTTTTCCTTCTAAAGGGTATAAGGAAGGAATATTCTCTGAGCCAAGTGGTATACTTTATATGCTATTATCAGGATTATTTTTCTCCTTGAACATGTAATATTCTTTCTTGAAAAGCACAAACCTGTTCATAAGGTACCACTCAAAAATTCTAGCTTACAAACAAGCTTATTATGGTAATTCTCTACAAATAATGACAAATGTTACTCACCAGAGGACCAGGGGGTCCATCTTGTCCAGCAGCACCGGGGAGTCCTTGTTCTCCCTACATAAAACAAAATGAAACTTTGTTTGCTAACAAGACAATTCCTATTATTTTTAGATTGGCAACTATAAATTGTATCACCACAAAACATACAAATGCAGTTTTTTTTAAATTCTCTGTACCTGTGTATGTACATACACTCATGTATACATCTACATATACTTATATAAAAATATCCACAGACATATGAAGAGATATATGTATGAAACCTTTCATCACCATGACATTAGAACTTAGTTTTCTTCTGTGTTAGTAACTAGAACTTTACCACAAAATTATAACAGAAATGAGATACTTAAATATTTTTAAATATATTGTTAAGTTATTTAATCTGCCACTTAGTAACTTCTATAGAAATACTGGATTTCCATAAAGCATAAGTTATGAAGCAGCAACCATAGGAACATTTATATTTAAAGATACTGAAATTTAAGTTCTTTTCATAACAGTCCCTCTTAGCACAGATGCTTACCACAGGACCAGGGATTCCTCGAAGACCTTCTGGACCAGGCTTTCCAGAAGGACCCTGAGGTCCAACAGGGCCAGTTTTCCCAGGAGGTCCTTCAGCACCAGCTTCTCCCTGTTTGAAAATAAAACATGTTTTATTTTCATAATCATAAAAGCACAGCTATCACTTGATGTGTTAAGACACATGTCTTTCAATTCGTGAATGGCCTCACATGTCTCTTCACGTCTTACCTTAGCACCTTTTTCACCTTGCCTTCCTTCTGAACCTGGAGCCCCAGGAGGACCCTGTAAAGATAAAGCTGTATTTAGAGATGAACTACCTTAAAAGAAACAGTTCTGAGGCACTCTATGTGAATGCAGGAACTGCTGATAGACTGCTAAAGTATGGTTTTATATTAGTTTTCTATTTAAAACACAATACTAAACTGAACACTAATTTCATGTAAAAAACGCCATTTAGATCATTTAAAATAAACCACCAACTAAGAAAGCCAAGATCATTACATAACATCAAAAACAGTACAAAGGAAGCTTCTCAAAAATGCTGACAGAAAACTTGATGTAGTAGTGCATGAATTTAAATCCAACACTTGAGATCAGTACTTATCCCTAGCATAGGAATGGACTTTGAGAGCCCATTTCACATAGAGGGATACTCCCTCAGCCTAGACACACTGGAGAGGGCCTAGGCCCTATCCCAAAGGATACGACAGACTTTGTAGACCCCTCCCCGCATGGAAGACCTCACTCTCCTTGGGGAGCAAAAATGGTATGGGATAGGTAGGATGTTAGTGGGGGGCAGGGGAGGAGAGGAGGGAGAAGGAACTGGGATTGGCATGTAAAACAATCTTATTTCTAATTTAAATTAAATAATGGAGGAAAAAAATAAATCCAACACTTGGAAGCCGTGGTAGGTAGATTACTGTGAGTCTGAGGGCAGCCTGGTCTACTTAATGAGTTCCAGGCTATCAAGGGCTGCAGAGTGAAACCAACTCTCAGAAAACAAACAAACAAACAAACAAACAACAAAAAACAATGCTGATAAAAGAATACTTAGTGTGAGTATAAATGCTAGAGGCAGCTTGTTATTCTGAATTATTCTGTTTCTTGAATATATCAAACATTATTTGCATCTTTATCTTTAGTAATATTTCAGAGGTGGCTCAATCTAAGTACACCTTAGATATCATTCATATAAAGGGCCTTTGGGGTCCAGTCCCAAGGCTCTCTTTAAGTTCAGATCGGATGCTATAGAGAAGCAAAAGGAACTTAGGTATATAAGGGTGAACAAACTCTCTCACATGTGTGTTTTTCGTCATGTCTCTTTACTATTCTGTCTCTATTCTAATTCTCCTGTCTTTTTCTAGTTTCTCCTAGCTTCTTCTCCTCTAGCATAAAAACTCTTTTACAGGAGGCTAGAAGCAATAAAAAAATTACAAGAATTACCTCTCATTGGTCAAAAGCACATTTCGAGGGTAAGCAGTAAGGAGCTGAGCCATTTACCACGGCAAACACAATAATTTAGAAAAGAGCAATAATAAAATTTACTGGAGTAACAGTTCCCTTTCTCTCTTCCTCTTGTGCCTTCTTTCCTTTTCCCTCCTTTTGGAGTTCTCCTTTCCCTTTACTGCTTTAATCTTTTCCTCATGATACCTCCATTGTTTGCTCCTAAAAGCCATTAGTAATGTGGTAAGAAGTTTTTTCCTCAATACAGACTGTTAATGGTGAACTAACCAGCCTGCACAACTACAAACTAAATGCATTTTTTCTAGTAGTCATGCAGTCATTCTGTTTGGTAATGACAACACAAACAGATGAACTCAAGTCATATGGGAAATCTGGTTTTAGTTGTTTCTCATGTTTGCATAAAAGAAACTAGTTAAGTTTATCCCTAAAACACACCATTACTACATTTTCCTACTCATGAGAAACAGAAATCACCTAATTTTTTTCTACTATTAATAGCTAACAATATGGTCATATAAGTTGTTCATTCTGTCACTCAATTCTCAAATGTATACATATTACTTATGATGCAAACTATGCTATGTATGATGAAAATAACTTCAAAATAAAATCAAAACCACAAGGAGTATACAAAATTTCTTACAAAGACAGTCATATAGGCTAATAAAAACAGTATACAAAAATGTATAAAGATGAGGTCAATGTGTAAAATGTGTATTTGATCCATTTTAGGGGGAAGAAAGCCTTTCCAGGGAATTTTATGTCAGATCTGAATCTTACAGTGTTGGTAGATAAGAGGTATTCTGTGATAAACACTTTACGTTCTTATCATTATTGTGCAAGCACAACACCACAGGATTGATGTGAATGCCATTCGTCAGAGACCCACTGGTGATTCAGGGAGGCTGTTTGCTCAGATCCATGCACAATGTGAGTGTACACGGGTGTATGCAAATGCAGCGGAGCTTGCAAATCAAGGAAGAAGAAAAAAATCATAGATTAAGAGGAGTCCTGACTATTAAAATATTAATAAAATTAACCATGCTAAATTTAATGTACAGTCTTCAGCGTGCATCATATAGATGTTACTGAAAGGATCATATATTTTATCTTTTGTTTGCCTGCAATGAAGGCAAAAGGAACATAAACCAATAACTAATTTGCTGTAATATTTTATAATGGAAGTTGAAATTACTAGCAGATGTTAGTAATTTTTCTGCTTGAATCTCACAAATAGGTAAGACTAATAGAATATTGATTAGAACATTGTGTGTGACAGTTATACTTAGAAACATCATTCTAATAGCTATTGATTGAGTGGGAAAATTAAGTTATAATACTGTAGCACATGTACCTTAGGTCTTGAATTTGTAATATTTGATTAAAAAGTACACTTTCTCAAATCACTGGAAAGTTGTGTACCTTGTATCAAAGTGCCATGGGTTTTCAGTGCACAATTTATCTATACAGTGAGTGTTCAATCCCTGGCCTTTAACTCAAATATTTCTAAAACTGATTGTTGCAAGGTCTTGTTCTTTGTGGAAAAGTGAAGAGCTTCTATAGAGCCACAACAATAACCTGAAGTGTGATTCCACCAAAGTTCAAACAGTGGGACTATTGAGTTTAAAGATTTTTTTAATATTTTAAATATATACTCATATATTTCATATATATTATATACAGAATTATAATTTAAATATTATCCAACTCAGGTACCCTATAGGTTCAGTATGTACTTTTAACTGCTGAGGTATTTTTCCAGACCAAACTAATGAGTTTTTTTGGGGGGGGTTACTTACAGTGTGTGTGTGTGTGTGTGTGTGTGTGTGTAGATAACATATGGTAATGCTAAAATAAATTATATATCCAATTAACATTTCTGTTCATCAGTAAATGATACTTCTCAAAGTCATTATGTGAGCAAAGTCCCAATTTAAATTGGGAGCCACTGCAGATTATGCATGCCCTCTGAAACACATAGTTCAAAAATAATATTAAAGTGGTTGGGGAAATAGCTCAGTAGTTAAGAGTGCTGCTGCTCTTCTAGAACACCTGAGGTCAGTTGCAGCATGCCTGTCCAGCAACTCTCAGCTGAGGGAACATTCTAGGTGGGTTAAAGAGAGTAAGTTGTAAGGTATTGAACTACCTCAGAAGCTTGCTGAAAAATTATTACAGTTATTGTGTTACACTGTTGTTAAATCATTGGTCATGTGTCTGAGGATGATGGCCATTCAAAGAGGTCGTAACTCTTAGCCTGAAAATCTCAGGCCAACCCCTCCACTCCAGCCCAGCACCTATCTCTCTTTGGGACAGAGAATTAAGAAGTCACTTGCTGTGGTCTTAATGTTCAGATCCTCCACTCATTCTTTAGATGTAGGCTATCTCAGACTAAATCACACAGTATGTAACTTCCTGCCACCTCCTAGAATCCCTAAAAGCCAAATATTTACCTTGTAGTTGGAGCCCTAAACATGCTATTTACATCTCCTTGGTAAGAGTGTTCTAGTGAGAGTCACTTCTAGAATAAAAGTCATTCAATTTGGGAAATTTCTCTGCAGGCTTTGCCCTAAGGTTCCTCCCACACCTAATCATCTTGCTTGTCAGCTTTTTTTCCTACCCTTATTTTAAACTATCCTTGCTAAGGAAGCCCCTCTACAGGTTTCAATGGAAGTTTGTATCACTTTGTTCTATTCCTTTTCCAGTACTTTCCCATGACAAGGCCCAAAATGGTCCCCAGTCTCTTTCTCCAATAAAACTCATTCCTGAAGTGTTATCATGTGTAAGTTCTGTTTTTTTTTTTTCCCACTTGCTGGACCTTTCATTTTTCATGTCTACCAAGTATGTTCTTCCTACATTCACAGAGGCAAAGTTAAAATAACTGTTGCACCAGACAGTCCTGCTGGTTGACTGGAACACAAAGGTATATGGAGATAGCATTCTCAATTCAGCTTCAGTTTATGGAATCCACTGTTGGTACAGTGTATCAACAGAGTGATGTCATACTACATTTAAGTTTTTACAAGCTTCTTTCATAATTAGCTCTCTGTGTAGTCACAGTTTTACTTATCACATGCTCCCAAACACATGTTGTTTGTTAAACATATTTAATCAAAAACACTAAATATAGTTGAATTTAATTATTTCATTTTTTGCAAAACAGTTCATGAAAAATTACCTAACAATATTTGTTATACAAAGTTATGCTTAAAATACCTAATATAAATTATGAATTTCAACAGTATAAATCATGAATTATATTACTAGTATGAACACTTTTTGTATGTGTTACTCAGTGAGTTCAAATATTAATTAAACTACAAATGGCAAAGCCAGAATATAAAATTAAGCAAGACAAAGTTTTCTATGAAGTTCCTATAGATTAATTGCTTAGTGCTTTAAATGAATATGATATAATCTTACCTAGCACAAGAAATTAGATATTATGCTTATTTTATAAGGATAAAACTTTGACTTAAGAAGTTAACAATCTCATACTATATTATTTTGTGGCCAAATGATGGATATCTACATATCTGATTCTAATAAAATAAAATTCTACATTATTTTATGGTGCCACTACAATATTAAGATTCCCAGTTTCTAGGTTTACAAGTTAGAAAAGCTGTAAGAAAATAAACTTTTTCTTTTTTTAACATTTTAAAATTTAAAAAATTCACACACTGTATTTTGATCATATTCTTTCCTCTCCCCATATTTTCTGAAGTTAATCTAATCTTTCTGATTAAGTAGAGATTGAACTCTTGAATAAATCAATTAGTTTGGCAGTTTTTAGTTTAGAAGATCAAGCTTTAATTTCTAATTTTAAGGTAAACTCATTATTAAAGCTTTAGACGCTGGAATAGCTTCTCATGCCACTAAAATAGATCTTACTTTGATGGACAAAAGTGGATTATTTTGTCAATCCGTTTGTCAGTTTAGTGGGTTGGTTTATTTAACTTAATATAGAAAGGAATTCAGCACAATGGCAGAACTCAGGTTAGATATGAGTTCACATTTCAAAGGAGGAAAACCTGAATATTTTAATGCTCAGTAGTGCTGACTTCAGTGTGATTTGATACACCAAAATGAATATGTATAGTTTTGTAAGCTTGATGTAGTCATCACAGATTCCATGTAACATATAATATATCAGTACAAAGTAATTATTTAATGAATAAGACCATGACTAATAGTAAAGAATGGCTATATGGATACAGTGTTTGCATATTATGTAACTTTTCATTTACCCAACCATAGCGGTCAGGTAACCTTGAGAAACATAGGATAAGTAAACTGAACAAAGTTATGCAGGTGGGAAGAAGTTAAGCTGGTCTAGAAATTTGAATTTGATTTTATTACCCTATTACCCATCACGTTATATATTTCATCATTTGAGGTTTAAAGAAAAGCAAAAGATTTCTGATTTTCTCAACAACGATTTCAACTCATTTGTAAAGAAATTATACACTACAATTCATCCAAATGATCTGAGATAATACAACTGACAATTTAATTTATTTATAGTACCTAAAGTTTGAAAAGGGAATGCTTTTAAAAAATCAATTCATATTCTACTTTTGAGATACAAAGGCTCAATTGGAGAATATCGAACACAGAAAAGAAGTTTATAAGAATAAGATAACTGTAAAAATGAAAAGTGATTTTAATTATTGCGTGACTGGACCATGGAAGAATAAGTCATTTGAGAGAATAATTTTGATATTCACTACAGTATGTTTATTAACAGTATAGAAAATATGAAAAAAAGATATAAGGGTGGTACAAGGAGACATTCACTACAAAAACAGTAAAGCATTAAAAATTAGTGGTAAAGATAAGAATATTTGGATAGAATAATATTCAAGAAATAAGGTTCCATGACTAATAAAAAATCTTGCAGCAAAAGTCTTCTATGTAGAAAATCAATGAATTTTTGTTGAATTCTTCCAAAATTTTAAAGAATTAAGACCACTTATCCAGAAACTATCCCTAGATTATCAGGAAGAAACCTAACTCATTCTCCTAAAGACTCCATCACAGAAGGACAATTGAACATATAATCCAGCAAAGGAGAAGATTAAAAATAAAAAATGTAGTATTATTGACATACACTAACAAACTTGATAGACATGACAATCAATGATAGAAAAAGGTGAAAATTGCAACAAAGAAAATCTGAAGTGAAAAATCCACTCTACTGATGAAAACCTATCATGATGCTAATAATGTTCTTTATAGAACTACAATCAATCCTACAATACATGTAAAAGCACTAAAAACCTCCCAACAGCCAATAAATGTTGATCATAAAACACAGAACTAATTTCAAGTCACCCTACAGTGTCACAGTAACTAAAACAGTATGGCTTAAAAAAAAAAGGCAGACCAATGGAATGTATTAGAGATCTCAGAAAGAAACCAGATATCCACAGATAACCAATGCTAAACAAGGGGTCAAAATAAGGCATTTTAGAAAGAATAGCCTCTATTTGCTAAACAGTGCTAGAAAGAATATTGAGTATTGATTCATAAATATTATTTCTTACAAAAATCATCTCGGGCTAGATTACAGACCATAAAATAAAACCTAACATATGGAAGTACTTGAAGAAAGCATAGCAGGAACACTTAGAGAAATCTGAGTAAACAAATTTTGGATGGTTGCCACTACACAGGAAAATAGAAGTAGACAAATGGCATAATATCAAATAAAAAGGCTTCCATACAGCAAATAAAACAATCAATAGGGTATATACACAGGACATAAGAAGGAAAGTAACATCTGCCAACTATTTGACAAAGGATTAAAGTACAAAACATAAAAGGAACAGGACACAGCAGTAGTAACAACTACCAAATGAGGGCTTGGATTAAAAATGGGCTAATGGTCTGAGTGGACATTGGTCAAAAGAAACGAAAATGGATCACAGATACTTTCAAGATGCCCATGAGGTAAATGTACAACAAAGACATAATGTGGTCATATACTCCAGTTAGAATGGCTATTATGAAAACATCAAAGCCTGCAAAGATACAGCAAAAGGAAAAGTCATACATTGTTGCAGGATTTTCAGATAGTGTATCTATGTGGAAAACAGTGTGGAGACTCCTCAAAAATGGTAAGCCTAGATCTAGCATATGTTGTAATATTCACTTACTAATTATATTTCCAAAGGGAATTACATCTGCCTACCAAATGCTCCCTGCACTCTTTATGATCCTTATAGCACCACTTATGACTAAGATATGGAATCAACAGACAGATTAATGTCTACAGAAAATGTGGCGATTGTATCTAACGGGTTATTAGTCAGCCATGCAGAAAGGTGAAATCCTGTCATTTGTGAGAAATTGAATGGAATTGGAGGACATTACGCCATGTGAAATAAGGTAGATATGGTCAATAGAAGGCAAACAGCTCTTATTCTCACTTATGCATAAAGGCTAAACTGCTTATAGGATAATTTTTACTAAGAAGAGTGGAGGGAGCAGGATAAAATATTACTAGATAACAGGTAAGAAAACAGAGTTAGAGATAAAAACTTCAGTTTTTAATCAAACTGACAATTGTTGTGGAATGACTATAGTTTACAATAACCTGATATACAGTCCATGAACATTTCAGAGGCAAAATCCTCAGAAGAAGTTCAGGAGCACGAAAGGTCATTAATCTGTTGTGCCAATGCATATCACAGATATGCGTTAAAATACTAAATTTTTATCCATTAATACCTGAAATTATTATTTCTAATTAAACCAAAATCTTTAAATCTATCTGATTCTACTGTAGTCATTATTTTGGTTTTTGTAATATTTTACATCTATTTATTTTGTGTTGGTCATTATGTTTACACAAGAACGTGTATGGAGGTCAAAGCCAAAGGAAAACTTGCAGGAGTCAGTTCTCTCATTTTGTCATGTGGACCCAAGGAACTGAACACAGTACAGCAAGCTTGCTGGTAAGCACTTTTACCTGCTGAGACATCTCACCTTCACAGAGACAACCAGTGTGACCAAAGCTACTAATTTTCTGCTATATCCTTTATGAAAACTCTGCTTCATTAAAAATCATCTTTCCCCATCCCTGAAATTTGACAACATAAGGCCATCTACTATATAAATAGATGCTTGCTCTCAATCTACTGATATGGAGTCACACTTTCAAAATGTATACACTAAGTTTTGAACATTTCACCTCCATGGAGAATACCAGGGGTTGGAACTGGTACTGCTTAACAGCAGTTAACATTTGTTCAGAAAAGCCGGTAACTCTCAGTGGAGGAGCCGTTTGATTCATTCAAACTGTGACAGTAAAATATTTAAAATGTAATCTGAGATAGTGATGATTTTGACATACTGAAGAAAGTGGTTATTTTTCAGCCTCAGATGCAGCCTAGAGCTTGCATGAATAATAACAACATAAACACACAGGGAACAATTCAAATAAAGAATGGAAAAAAAACTTACTCTTTTTCCAGGAGGACCTGGTGGGCCAGCCTCACCGGATGGACCAGGAGGACCCTATAAATGAAGATAGTTATAAATAAATGTAAAATGCACTGTTTAATAAGCTGGGTATTTTTCATAGCCAACATAATTTCTCCCAATATGAACTAATTCTTTTCTCATTTATGCACATCTATCTTTCCTGAAAACCTCAGCCCCCATTAGGAGACCTGAATTGCTTCTACATATCCCCAGAGTGAGCTGGTAAACTCATTTGGTAAACTTCTTCATGGGTATATGAAAGTTCTTCAAATTTCCCTTGTGGAAATCCTGGCATATACACGTATCATAGCTTACAAATGTGAACATATTAACTTACTACCTCTAAACTTCTGATACAATGCTTATGCTTTTTATTCCACTGTGTAAACAATTATGTGAGGATGTATACCTTAGACTTCCAATACTTAAGAGACAGACCCTTGTAGGAGATTCATCTGTCTTCAAACCTATTTAAGCTAATGTCTTCTGTATTTTCTCCTTTCCTAAGTAACCCACGTGGCCAAAATACTTCTGTGTCATTACAAACATAATATTAAAATGTTTACACTATAACTTCATTTAGTTGCTTGGCTGAAATACCTTATGACCTACAACAAGCTACTAGTCTGATATTCTTATTTTTATACTCACTATATTTAAAATGTATTATTTTTTATAAACAAGTGGAAGTTTGGTTGTCCCTGAGTCTCTGACTCTTTTGCTCAATTCGGGATCCTTTTTCTCCTACAGGGTTGCCTCACCCAGCCTAGATTTCAGGGTTTGTGGGTGGCCTTATTGTGTCTTGTGCTGTATTCAGTTGACGCTTCTGAATGGCCTGCTCTTTTCTTGGGGTGGTGGGGAAGGAGAGGATTCGTCTGGGGGAGAGGGTGTTGGAGGATGCTAGAAGGAGCAGTGGGTGGAGAAGGTGTGCTTGGGATGAACTGTATGAGAGGAGAATACATAAAAGAAAACAAGAAAAAAAAAGACAAGCTCCTATACATATGACACAATTTTGAGAAATGGATACACAATATACACAGTAGTTTTAATTGTGAAAGAATGATAATTTTGAATTGCCTTTAAAAAAATGAATGGGGCTACAGATGAGGAAAAATAGTAAGGATTCTTGCCTACCGGTTGCCCTGGATCTCCATCTTCACCCTTGTCACCTCCGACACCATCTTGCCCCTATAATTGACATTCAAAATTAACCCAGATATTTCTTGTTATATTTTATTATTATAAAGGTACAAAACTTACACATACTATCTTGGTATAGTGTTGAAATAAGCTGTAATCAGATGAACAAATAAAGTTACAACACTTATTTTTTGGTTAGTGGTGCCTCTTGCTCTTTTCAGAAATACTTGGGAAATGGTTATTATACCTGAGTGTAAAGTAGTCTTCTGATATAAAGTAGGAGTCTCACTTGATGTATAAGATAAGTGCTTCTGCTCACCAGAAGCAGACATAATGCAATTCAAAGTAGGATTTAAATAATGATTGGCATTAAGAAATACAGACTTGAACTTTGTAATAAAAGTATGGCTGCTACTTAGATAATTTGGGTAATACAGGAAAGTTTCAATAATTGTTCGAATGAAGAGGGCAGTCATGTAACAGAGGTGTAATAGTCACCAGTTAGGTTTATGGTCAGTGTGATTTCTGTTTGTTTCATGTGGCTTTCTGTCTTTAGAAGTCCATTTAGAAAAGAATTTTTCTAAATTCTGAGGGAACAGCCCCCACCAAAGCATCCTTTTATTTCTCCGTGATACTTACTGCAGGGCCAGGTTCCCCAGGTGGACCGGGATCTCCAGGAAAACCAACAGGTCCCTAGAAAGATGTTATAAAAGGAAATTAAGTATGTGTGTGTATGTGTGTACATATATACATATACAAATTTTTCTTGTAGCTTTACAAAAGATGCAATATGAAAAGAATATTTTAAATTATAATAACAAAAGTAGTGCTAAGAAGTGAATATGACACAAATTTCACTTTAAAGAGGAAAACTCACCGGATTCCCCTTGGGGCCATCATCACCTGGTGGCCCTTTAGCACCAGCAGGACCAGCAGCACCAGGGGGCCCAGCTTCTCCTTTCTCTCCTCTCTCTCCTTTGGGACCCTAAAGAACACAATCGAAAGAAATAGTCACCTTGTAAGTACTGTTTCAACATCATAACATCAATATAGTGCGATGGACAATTTCCACTATTTATAGTCTGTATTTTGCAAAATTCCTAAAAGAATACAAATTGAATTAATTAAATACCAATAGTCAAGGACCCTGCAAGCTAGATCGTCAAAATATTTGTAGATTGTAAAGGGAGTGTAGTTTTTTTCACTGGCAGTATAATTTATGTTGAGTAATCAATTTTAATTAACAAACGTTTATTTAAAGCAGCAAGGAAATAGTTGCTTTGTTTATATTATGGACAGTTTCACCAAACACAATGTATATAGTGAACACCTTATAATCTTAATGATTTAACTCCTACAAATGTGATTTTTTTAAAACCTAGATAATAATAACAAAAACCCACTGAGTATTGTCATTTGTTAAACAGTGGTTTTGTAGTCATGGTCACATTAAATAAGTTGGAAAAGAAGAGTAAAAACAAATACTCTTGGGATTCAAATTCAATATTCAAACACTCTAAAAAGAATTCTTAAGTTTCTAATGAAGCCGAAAAATGGCTTTACTACTATAGAACTTACACCTGAGCCAGCTTCACCCGGGGGCCCGGGGTTCCCAGCTTCTCCAGGTTCACCCTACAAAGAAAGTATCATATGAAGGTAAGAACAAAGATACGGTGTTTTCCATCTGTAATAATCCCTTTAATATGGCCATCTTAATTTGGGTCAGCCTCTACCTTACTGTATTGCTTAAAGTACATAAAAAATCTAATAATAAGAAAGAAAATTTGGATTAATGATCTCAATAACTCAAATGAAGAAACAGATTAAATGCTGACTCAGTTTTGATGGACTAAATCCAGCAAATCAACCCAAGTTACCACAAAGCTATGACAAAAATCAGAACATTTTCTAACAATTTACATTTGTATGGCATCAAAATTCATATTATAAGAAGGATTATAGATTTTAAAAAGAAAGTTTTTTTTGGTACTAACTATAAACATGTATCTTGTTAATAAAATATATCAGTATAAATCTTGGCACAATATTGATAATCCTATAGTTTAGTAGAGATCAGGGTTAGATATAGGATGTACTTAATAAAAAGTCTTGTATTTGAGTTTTTAAATATTCTAAATTTAATGGCTAATTTTATGGGTTTTTATTTTCCATTTTTTTCAGGTGGAATTTTTTTAATGCCCCCCACAAAGAAAAAAAAAAGTCTAAGGAAGCAGCAATCCATATTTAAACAAATGTATCATGAAGGGTATCAAAATTGTAATGTTTATGTACAAAGAACTCTTTCCTGGGATTTAGCTATGGAGTCTAATGTTAGTGTCTCCTTCTTAGAAATGCATAAAAATATAGTGTCTTATTCCAGTGACTACTGAAGTGAAGGGATGCAGCACACGCACACAGACACAGACACAGACACACAGACACAGACACACAGAAACAGACACAGACAAACACGTTCCCCTCAGCCCTCTTCTAGCCACTCCAACAACAATGATCATCAGCATTCTAAAGTGGCACATACTAGTGATTCCAAGTTGGTTTGAAAATTTCCATAGTAAGTACAAACATCATTCCAGGGTAGAAACTGATGGATTAATTTTCTTAGTCTTCTGAGATTCACATATAGTTTGAATTCTTTGTAAAGCTGTGACATCACCAAGTACTTTCCAAGAATTTCTTAGATGTGGGATTGCATATAAATTTTGTCTTCCTCAAGATAAATGGCAAATATTTCCTATATTTTGGACAGTTATTACAAGTAAAATAACTGCATTTATGTTATGTATGAAGAAAGGACTCATTCAACTATTATAATGTGATAAAATGATCTATCAGGAATTTTGGGGGATGCCATTCACATATTTGAAATGAAACACGTACTTTGTAATTCAAATAAACTGTAAAATGTCCATACTAACTGTTTAATACATGGAATATATGCAATATTAATCAAAAGTCCTGGAAACATTGAACACAAAATGTTTTCTTATGTGCCATATTATCCTGTGGTATCATTGTAGAAATTTGGAACTAGAAAGAAAACTATATATTTTTAAGTTAACATCAATATATTTTGCTCATCTCTTTCCATTTTTGTTAAATATAAAGGGACTGATATTCTGAAAAGATTATTTCAAATTTTCTAAAATGAAGAAATTAATGGTAGTCAAGAAATGTGTTTAGACAGTAACATGTAAGGGCGAAGACTTCTACAAAATCTCTGAGAATAATCTATCAATATTCACTTGCTTTTAGAATAGTAAAATTACCTTCATGCACATTAAAAACAAACACATATGACAAGTGTCCATAAGGAAAATTTTAAAGGAAAAATGTTATCAAGTAATAAGTTTCAATTTAGATACCCATAGAATAAAAAAGTCAACTCTATGCAGATCCTAGCACACAGAAAAGTAAGTTTAAATCTAAATAAACTTTAAATGAGTAGATTCAAATTAAATTAAAAACTAACAGTCAAATCCCCAGCCTTATTGAACATTATAAGACTAAAAATTGGCAAATTGTTATCATTTGACCTATAACCTACATGACAATGTGTGAGACTTCCCCAATATTGGCAAATGTTAGTATCTTTCATGGAAGACAAAGTATAAATTCATAGAAGACAAGGTTTTAGAAAACTAAAGTACTTACGACTATATGCTTGGTATTTGCGATCTTCAGGACATATGTAAAGCACATGAAATGCCTATTGCAATTATCAACTATTCCTAACTCTCTGGGCAACATCATCACCAGACTACATGTTCCCAAGAAAGAATGCAGAGGGAGTAAAGCTGCTGGGATTTTTTCAAGACAGTGGTGTCTTGAATACTGGTATTGTCTTATGCTTTTTATGTTAGGACAATTAAACTCAATCAGATTTTTTCTTTTAAAAACTGTCTTTCTCAACATAAAGATTTCACTTATTTAAGATTATAAGCAAACCTCCTATAAACAATTGTTAAACAAACTGCATTCTTTATCTGCTAAGAACTAGAAAGTGTAATTTGTTTCTAATTTAGTAATTCATGAGCTATTTGAACAGTGAGTCATATGCAGTTAATTATAAATACAACAGTCAGAATGAGAGGCAGAAGTAAACATCAATTTAACATAGTCTAATCTCATTACACTAGGTTTGGAGGGTTAGCTCTTTTAATGAAAATAAATGAATTAATTATAAAATAAAATGTGTCATGCCCCAAATGACTTGACAGACTTTGATGATCCCTCATGGAAGGCCTCACCTTCCCTGGGGAGTGGATGAGGAATGCCATGGGGTGGGGGTCGGTGAGGTGATGGGAGGAAGGGAGTAAGAGGGAACTGAGACTGATATGTAAAATAAGATGGTTTCTAATCGAAATACAATTTAGAAAAAAAAAGAATTCAAAGCAAGGAAAAGAATCATGTTTCAAGGTTGGGATACAACCACTACAGTTATGCTTTTGGTAGAGCAGATGTGAAATTTTACATTTTCCCCGTATAATATTTTAAGGTATGAATTGGGTTTTTTTTTGTTCTTGAAAACTAGAAAATCATTTTCTTAATCTAAGTAAATGTCAATGATAATTTTCTTTAAAAGTCTACTAAGATATGAGGTTGAATACATAAATAAGAAATCAAAGAATCATTTTGAGATTTTTTTCAAAAAAAAAAACAAAAAAAGAAGACTAGATTTTTAAGATGAAATAACGTTTACCAGGGAAAGGAGCTGTTCTGAGCACAGATGTTATGGCACATGCCAAGAGCTTTGAAAAGTGCCAGAGATGGGCTGAAGGCTTAGTAATGAGAAGGTGACAACAATCAGTGATTAATTGTTTTCGGATATGAAAGACTCCTTTCGTCCCTGGCTCAGTTGTAAGACAGAGTTTCCTCTGCTTTGAGTACCAAGTGTCACTAATGAAAGGCACTGTAGTCTCCTCAGACATTCAGACGCTGAAGTGGAGCTGGGCATTGTCAGTTTCTAATGAAGAAACATTCACCAAATCACTGTAATTAACTAAGCCTCAGCCTTCCCTGTTCACGAAGGCAGATCACGATGACTCCTACTCTGCACTGAAACAGGAAATAATCTGCGTGCAGCATTCATCGCCACAGGTGTCAATACAAAACACCCATCAGCATTTGATTTCTACCTGTGTCGGCTCTAGAATAAATAATACTGGATTTGTGAATATATGCACCAAACATGTTAGAAGCATGTAAAATGCGCCCCACAATTATCAAAGCTCTTTATTTATGGCTGTTTTAGCCAGTGTGCGCTCACCTTTTCTCCCACACCTCCAACAGAACCAATAGAGCCTGGGGGTCCTTGTGGTCCCTGGGATGTAGAAAAAGAAACAGAGTTACACTTTTAATAGAATGTTTAGCTCACATACATGTGCATACAGTTTTCAAAAGAGAACATCATATACAGGAATACGGAGTAAAATTGAGGAGTGAAACAAAAAGTAATGACTTTATCAGCTTCTTCAGTTGTTATATTTACTAACAGCAAATAACTTAATATATTTCATCAGCTTCCAACTTTCCCAGGATTTGGAGCATAAGGCAAAGAGACTTCCCAGATTTTGTCACATATTTGGTAATGGACACAAAATTCCAATGTCTCTGCCCATGAAAAAATCAGGGCATATTTACGATATGATTGTATACTGTACACCTGTTGCAACTGAACTTAAGAATGGCCTACTGCATTGGAAAATCAAACCCCTTAGAAACTGCTAGGCATCAGATTTCTTTGGGAGACTGAAAGCCCCACACCTTTTCTAGTTTACCAGCTGCTGATATCTTTTATCAGTTCTGACCTAATAAAATTAAGGGCAGGCATGAGAGAAAATAATTTCTACCAAAAAGAATGTGGAAAGCAGGCAGCCTCATTTGCAAAACATGAAGTCAGAATTCGATCACACAGGCCTAGAAATGTATGGAAGATAACAGTAGCATGGATGCATTATTACATTTCCACATTCTATAACATTCCATGAGAATGCTGGACCGGTTTCTAAGGGGAATGTCTTTGAATAACTGAGAAGGAATTGTTTGCTCTCAGTGAGAAAGGGTGCACAAATGCACATATTTCTCCAAATGATTTATAGGCTGGAAATGCGTGAGTGCCATAAAACCTCTATGTGGATATATGTAACACATGTGTAAAGTACACACCTAGACTAGTACATCCAAAGGCAATTACCCAACTCTTACAGAATTGCCAGAGAGAAAGCCTAAACTGAAGAATTCAATAACCATTTCCAGAACATTTATCACTTATCAGCTACTATGTAAGTATACTTACTATGTAAGTAAGTAAGTAAGTAAGTATACTTACTATGTAAGTATAATATTCTGAACAATATGGCTTATAATGATTCAAATTATAGTTTCACCAATAAATATACATTAAGTGTGAACTAGGTGTCCATTTTACATTTTCAGGAGAAAGGCCATTTCTTTCTTTCTATTATGAAGTGGCATGAGTAGATGACCATTGGGTCCTTATCCATTTCCATTGATAAACCTTGATGTGATTATCTCCATTGTATCTCACAAAACATCTGCCAGAATAGAATGCTGGCACAGAATGTCATTTGGAATTAACTAGCATACACTTCACAGTTCTTACATCAGCTCCATTGGGACCTTGAGGGCCTCGTGGGCCAGGAGGACCTGGTGGACCCTAGAAAAGACAAAAGAAAAGTTTGCCAAGATCATACAGAAATACAGTTAACACATTCATATTTTAGGATGAGTAAAAGGCTAGTAGCTGTGAGATCACAGGCAGAGAAGGCAGGAGGGTTACCAATATGCAGGATGAAGACAGTATCACATCAACCAACGAATGCCCCTTTCCTCACTGATAGGAAATTAACACTTCAGAAAAAAGACAAAAGAACAGAAAAGCAACGCAGGACTCCTATTGCTGCTACAAATTATTCACAATATAGACAATGTCATATTATGGAAGAATATATCACAGCATAAAATAATCATACCACTGGAACAACAACAAAAAGAAAACCAAAACTAGACTAGTTTCAGAATTAGGAAATCAAGTAAAAAAAATATTGTCTTTACTTTGTGTGAAAATGATTGAGTGTATGAATTCTCAGGTTTGACATTATAAAACTGGAAATAACTTTAGTTGCCTCCCTACAGTGAAGCTTCTATGTCCTGGCTATACGTTAAAATTATCCCAGGATACAATTGTTAAAACATTTTTGGACAATATCCCTTACTTTTAGGTTGCAACTAAGGTAGTTCAAATAAAAGAAACAAAATAAGATTATATAATATGAAATAAAGAGAATAGATGTAGTTAATACCTAGTCATTAGTATTTTTTTAAATCTCAGTTTAACCTAATGCCACAATTGATGCTTTTTCTAATCTGACCTATCAAGCAGAATGAATGTTTCAGCATCTCATGGAAACACACCACTAGATCTAGAAAAATGGACTATAGTGTGTCACCTGCTGCTTCAGAGTATGACCTAGTCAGCCATGTATAGTGTTTGTTCCTCACAGTTAGATTTTCTAGTGATAAGAATAATTTCAAAGTATGTAATAAATGTAGATGTTGGTCTTAAAGTGAATGAAATGTAACTTACAATTATTAAACTTCAAAATATGAGTAGAACCTGTCCAGGTGTAGGTGATCAATACAAAACAAATTCAATGGTATTTTTATAGATTTATTTTGGTCCTGTTTGTCTTTTTCCTTGTATATTTTGCTTTCTGTTTTTGTGGGATTTTATGTTTCTTGGGTTTTTTTGTTTTTATTATTGATTTTTTTTTTAAAGAAAGGCCATGGAGTAGGCAGGTAGGGAAGAGGTGGGGGGGAGGTAAAGCATGATCAGAGTATATAGTCTAAACAATTTTATTCAAGTAAAAAGTACTAAAATAAGTATTTTGAAATAAATTACAATTGTCAACAATGATAGAAAAAGCAATTAATACATATAGTCATCAAATACAAGTTTCAAATACTTTGAGAAAATACTTCCTTATCAAATATATTTGAAAGTTTAGGTTTAGTTCTTAAAGTAAAAAAAAAAGTCCTAATTGATAAATAAAAAGAATTTGTTACACTACTTGAATTAATAATGCATTCCTTACCAAACTTAGAAGTTGTTTCCCAGTACAAAAATTTTTTATTCTTCTTCCATAGTTATTAATTATAGAAATACTATATGAGTGCTATATATTCTTTATTTGTTTCACACCCAAGCTCAAAGCAAAAGATTCACAAGACACCATTGTGGCACTGGATCACATTAAATATTTGAATCACTGAATGTCATATATGCACATAACATTATTCTGAAGTGGATGAAGATAAAAGATAAATATGTGTATTACCGATGATACTTGAATAGGAAACAGAATTTAGAGCAGCACAATTTCACCATTGTTTTGTTAACATCAATGAGTTGTAATTAACATGTGAGTAGTGTTGACATGCACAATACCATTGAATCTCTGGAAAACACAACCTACCATGGGTCCAACATCTCCATTTTCACCCTTTTCGCCTGGTGGCCCTGGCAACCCCTGAGAAAATACAATTTAAAAGAAAGTCATCCATGTATATATTTGAAAGGTCCAGAAATGGTTAAGATGGTAAAATGCTTTCTACACAAACACAAGGATTTGGGTTAGGAGACTCAGAGCCTATGCTACATTAGACACAGTAGCTCTTATCTGTAATCCCAGTGTTTGCCCAGAGTGATGGAAGGCAAAGACAGAAGGCTTTGTAGCTCTCTGGCATATTAGGCAGTGGTAACACAGCAGGAAACATTAAGACACAAAGTCTCAAACAGTAGAAGGGAGAACCAAACCTGAAGTTACCCATAAATGCACTATAACACAATGAAACATGATGGTATGTGCTCACACATACATACACTCAACGCAAAGACAAAAAAGTTGCTGATTTACACCACCAATAATTAATTATAAATTTAATTAAACATGTAGAAACTAATATTCAGAAACAAGTATATTAAAATACTTCTAGTCAACTGTTTCCAACGTTACAAAATCTGATTATATTCATAATTAAAAACCATGTTTTACATAATATTTTAAGTTGAGTTTTCTAAAATAGATAATTCAATAAACACATAAAATTTTATCATACAAACAGCAAGCCCCCTTTCTATTTCTTTTACTCAAGTATGGACTTTTAATTTGTATTTTACATTTTTATGTTTATATTGTCCCAGTCAAGAAACTGTTTGGCAAAACTGTTTAAAAATATATATTTCCAAAGTTACACATATATTCTTATTCATAGTCGGTTAACTCATTCCTGAATCTTAAAATTGTGGAAGTCATGAAACTTAATATATTGATCACATCCTTTTGTTTTCACTAAATTCTGTCTTTTGTATTAACCACACTGTAAGTGGACAATAGAAACCCAATGTTAGGGAAAACTCAGGCTGAGCCAGGTCAGGCTGTATGGGTATTTGGGTCAAGAATCTACACTTGTTACAAATTTTAAATTATATGTAACCATATTTAATATACATAATACATTAACAACCATATGAATGTTTTTTATACATAAAAACAAACTCCAAGTCTAAATTTAAGGGGAAATGCTGACCACTCCCGCTTGGAGGTTGGCACAGGTGATGCTGTCCACGCCCACTTAGGGGCTGGCACAGGTGATGCTGACCACGCCCACGTGTGGTGGTCAGAGTGACATAGCAAGCTTTAAATATGAGGGATGCATGAATTTGGCTCTCTTTTCCCCTCTCCCACCTGGCTGAACAGGACTGGTTCCATAGCGTGAGTACTTCCCAATAAACCATGTGTGCGTGCGCACGTGCACACACACACACACACACACACACACACACACACACACACATCCCTAACCTCCACATGCAGTACACATAGCATTTAATTTTTCATAGAAAACAGGAATATTGCTTTGTTTTCTGCCCTGGAAACCAATAGTGAGTAGTTCAGGAAAATCATGCATAAGCTTCGTACCTGAAGACCTATGGGTCCAGGAGGTCCTGGGAAACCTCGTGCCCCCTCATCACCTTTTTGTCCAAACATTCCCTGCTGTCCTCTGGGACCTGCCTCACCATCTCCTCCCTTGAAAACAGCAAGGTACAGATCAGTATTAAAGAAAATATTATGACACATTCTTATAAAATGGCAGGCATTTTTATAATCTACCAAATAATTACAAAGTAGATTCAATTTTCCTGGTCTTCTCCAAACATGCCACTGTTTGATTCACAAGCATTCTTAGTTTCTGGAGTTTAGTTGATTTTGATTGGATCATCTCATCAAATAAGGTAAAAATGGTCCAGGAGAAAATATAGTGCTCAAATATTATCAAATATTAAGTGATGTCAAACCTGTTCTTATTTAAACTTATCTGAACTGTGTCACTTTTTTTTTTAATCTTTAAATTTAACATCATTTATATTATTTTTCATTTTAAATTTTTAAATCTTTTTATTTTAAAACAATCATTCTCATTTTACATACCAATCCCACTTCCCAATCCCTCCTCTCTTCCTCCCTCCCACCTTCCTCTCATCCAATCCCCCATCCATTCCTCAGACTTCCTTGACTCCCCATGGGAAGCCATGTTTTCTAAAAGTGGCTAGTTATAATAGATCACATAAGTGCGATTCACTGTTTAGAACACAAATAAACATAGTAGCACATAGTGTCAACTAGATATAGGATTGACATACAATCATTAATTTTATCAGGGAATTAAGAGTACCTAAATTTGTGGAACAAAGAGATATTAATACTTACAGCAATCCCAGGGGCACCAACAGGTCCTTGAAGACCTGGGGGACCAGGAGGGCCCTGGAGTGACAAACAAATCAGAAATCTTAAAATCAAATCTTCTAAAGCATCAGTAATGTTACAAAAAACAAAAGACAATGGCTGACCAAGGCTGGCAAAGATAAACAATGGCTGATCAAGATAAACTTTGGCTGATCTTTGGCTGAACTTTAGGCACCTTTACACTCCTTTGGAAATACAGAGATATTGTTTAGATGACTTTGTAATTACTAAAACAACCATCATTTATTTTATTCCCTACAAGATAAAATTGATATTTATTAACAAATATGAAAATGTTCACCTCTGAATATATAAATACATATATGTATTATATATATGAATAGATTTTCCCGATAATCTCTATCAATTCAAGGCTTACATTTTAAAATGATCTTAAAATTTTATTTCTCTAATGATTATATATATATATTATATATATGTATATATATATATATTAGAAGCACATGAAACATATCTATGCCATCTTCTAATAATCAATGGGCTTCTGGAGTGTTGAGAAGCACATGAAACATATCTATGCCATCTTCTAATAATCAATGGGCTTCTACACTGTTGTACATAGAATATTTTCATATTAATATATGAAAATCAAGTTTTCCATGCACACACATGTGTTTCATATTCAAGTGTCTGAAACTATTTTGAACAATAGGTTTGAACAGGTAATGGGTCGTCCACACATAGACACAACCTTCTATCTTGCATTAACTGATAATGCTTTGCATAAATGGAATCTGTTGTTTTTAGTCTTTTACCAATTTTCCACAAAGCAAGAGTCATTAAAAAGAGGAAACCTCACTTGATCAAGTGCCCCACAAGACTGAACTTTGTGCTAGCCTGGAGGACATTTTCTTGATTGATGATTGATGTCAGAGGTTTCAGCCCATGAGAGGAGTTGTGCTGGGCCACTACTACTGAATGATGTAAGAAAGCAGGCTGAGCAAGCCATAAGGAGGAAACCAGTAAGCAGCACTTTCCATAGCCTACGCATCAGTTCCCTCTTCCACATCCCTGCTTAAGTTCCTGCCCTGACATGCTTTGATGATTGTGATTCTGAAGTGTAAGATGTCAAAAATTACATCTTTTCCTCCTCCATATCTGTGTGATTCTGGCATTCAACCAATATTTGTCACTGCCAAATGAAATAAAATTCAGTTTTGCAAAGACAGGCTGTCTACAAGGGACAATACCCAGTAAATATAAAACAATTGGAACCTTTGTAGTGTGCTTGGGCATATATATAATATGCTTGCATTTGATTTATTTTGTGCATGCATATATGTGTGTTCTATGTACAGAAATATAGGTGAAGGACATAGTAAGGTGTCTGGGTGAGCTGTTCTATCACTGTTTGATTTATTCGATTGAGTAATGATCTCCCACAGAACCATGACCTAGAATGACTTACAGTCACTCCTGCATTGCACATGCGTTCTGGGATCTCAAGATCGATTCACATACTAAAGCAACAAGTGTCCTTGCTTTCTGAGCGAAGGCATCTCCCCAAGCCCTTATACTACAAATTTTTATTAGGGTGATAGTTCTTTTGTTTACTTTTCATATAAATCAACAATGCACATTTCAAGTATTTCCATTTAAATTCACAGTATAACAGCTACCTTGACAAAAACCTGCTGGAGCTAAATGTTACTATGGAAGAATACCCATGCAAATGGATTAAAAGGATGATGCTCCCTCACCAAGTTGTAAGGAACTCACATTTTCGCCTTTGTCACCTTTGCTGCCCTTTTGGCCTGGTTCTCCAATTTCACCCTGTGTTTGAAAGATACATGTTAAAGCTTATTTCCAAATTATCATTCCTGAAATTTCATCATTATCACCACATTTTTTACAACTAATGTAATTACATGATGGTATTCAAAACCATGATCTCAATATAAAAGTTCTCTTTGCCTCTGGCTTTCTATAATTGACCAATACATAGGAAGATGAAGTCAACATTGACATAGAACTACAACTACAAATAAAACCTTAAAAAACCTTATTTTGTCCTGTATACCACCACCATGAATGACAACGGAAGTACATTGATTTACATACATATAAGTACATGTAATCAAAGGGTAGTTTTTCTTTTCTCCCAGTTTACCAAGAAGTAAGATTATAATACAGTGTTTCTCAAAATTTCTACATATTATAAAAGAAGTTAAAACTAAGTTGAAATAAGAAAATCACCAATTTTGTACAAAAGAAAACATCAGAGCATTTATTATTTATATGTTGCTAAAAAAGGACTACCAATCCTTTTACCAGTGCTACTGCAGCTTATTCATAAGTCTTATGGCACAACTCCTCAGGACTAAACTACTATTTAAGGAAGATAGTTTTTAAAAATATGAAACCAATGTTCTCTTATATTTTATGTTTCTATTCTGTATGCTGCTTTATGAAAGGTATATTTCTTAACTTTTGAAGGCATAGAATACTTTGGGTTACATAAGAGGTATCAAAATTTGAAAAAGACAAAAATCACAAAATTTCCACTTTGGGCTTAATCTTTGACTAGAGACATAGTTCCTGAGAAAGCACTTCATAAGCTTTTGTATGCCACACTAACAGAAACAATGACACCAACCTTGTCTCCATCCTCACCAGGAGAGCCAGCAGGCCCAGCAGGCCCAGGGAGACCCACAGGGCCTTGGATTCCATCTCTACCTGCAGGGCCTTGAGGACCCTTCTCTCCCTGCATCCAAAATACAACATGTCATTAAATGCTGAAGGAATCCAGTAAATGCTATACATTGTGTTAAAAATGATACATACATACATACGTACGTACATACATACATACTACATACATAAAATAACAAGCTATACATTGTGTTAAAAATGATACATACATACATACGTACGTACATACATACATACATACATACTACATACATAAAATAACAACCCCACTTCTACATATTCCAGTTCTTATATTTAGAAAAGAAATAGTTTAATTTTTCTTGGAAACAAATTGCAAGCTGTGAACAACAAACAGAAACAACGGGGTGCACTCTGTGGGTAATTAATAATACCAGGAAAACTTACGTCACTTTTAATAATTTATCAGTTTCTAGCCATACTCCATAAAATTTATTAGACACAACTGACAAAATAAATACTTTAAAAAATAATTTTACCAAACAAATCTTGGCAAACCAGGTTGGTGCTGTCTCTCTGAGGCTATGCTTTGTCTTCCCAGAGTTAATGAGCTAGCCATTCAGCAGAACTTAAACATGCATAAACTTTTCATATGCCTTATATGAAGTGGGTTTCTCCCATTTTCACAGGGATTTTGTGGATTCTACAAGCTTCGATTATTTTAACTCATGTCTGCTTTTCTTGGTGCCAAAGATCATGTGTGTTGGCTTTCTCTTTTTCTCTGGTTTTGTTTGTGCCTCGCTGGCACCTTTTTCTACTTGTGAATTTATCCATAATGAAAGATAGAGCATTGCTGATGAAAACAACTTCTGCTGCTATAAAAAAAAATATTGCTAGCTTTCAGGTTTTAAAATAATGTAATTCCCATGCTAGAGTTTACACTGGTTTTAATGGAGACAATGTCCTTGCTTATACGCAGTGGTTTTTCTCCTGTTGCATTACCTGTGAAGCTACAAGTGATCGTCTCATCCTTCTGACACCTGTTACCTCACAGTCTCTTGACCCTTTATGTTGATGTATGTTTATGTGTTTTGTCTCTAACTCTTAAAGCAATATTTTTTTTTTAGTTCTAAGTATCAAATTCAGGGCCACATGACTGCTAGGAAATCCATTTACCAGGAGGATACATCCTGGTCATCATCAAATTTACTTCCTAAAAGCATTCCCAGTTTTCTTCCTCTTTATTGAAACATCTTGTCAAATATTAGTAGCATTTCTCTGAGCTACTGAAATAACTTGCTGATTTTAGACGCTCATGTCTTTTTCTTCCTCCCACATCATTTCTCCATTACAACAAAAGAGTTCGTGGCATCATATAACCAATATCATTAGGTGAATGTATTTGCTTATCATTCTTCAGAGTGAGCGCTTGCTTCACTATGATTCTTAGTGTTAGCTGTCAGCTTGACAGAAGTTAGAATTATCTAGGTCAAGGCTCTGGGCATGTCTGTTGGAGATTGTCTTGATTATGTTAATTGGGTTGGAAAGAATTGCCCACCGTGGTTGACACCATTCCTATGCTGGTGCATTCTAGATTGTTTTAAGTGGAGAATGGTTAACTAAGCAGGAAGCACACCTTCGTCCTTTGCTCTCTACTTTTATTAGACGTGCAAAGTGATCAGCTACTTCAAGATGTTGCTGTCTCAATTTCCCCACTATGATTGTAGATACCTTGAACTGTGAGTCAAAATAAACTCCTTCTCCTAGCAGTTGCTTGGGTCAGAGTATTGTATCACACAAATAGGAAAAGAAACTAACATACTATCTTGATCTAGTCCTACTGGGACCCAATGATATCTAATGGTAAAAGGAATAAAATATCTCCGCTAAAAATGTAACTTTTGTTATTGTTTTTTTTTTGCTATGTTTATACTTTTCTCACAACTCCTAGAATGCATCCTTCCTTACTCAAAATCTCACGTACGTGCATTATTTTCTGGTCATTGTTTCTTCTATTTTTATCACTGTTCCGGTTCCCCGTGATGATGACTATTGTGAGGTGATGGTTATTTATTGAAAACATTCCAACTCTATATTATGTTTTAGAACTGTGACAGCACATGTTCCTCAAGCTCCTACAACTATCTTATTTTTCAGATATTGGAAAATAGGCTCTGAAGTTAAGAACTTAGCCATAATCATGAACTAAATAAATGAGAGAGCTGAGCTAGCAACTGAGTTCTGAGAAGTCAGCAGCCTTTGCAACTTCAACATTTTCAGTTCTCAATCTTCACTTCTCATTTATTTCATTTTTATTGGAAAATAAACAAATATATTCATGGTTTACTAATAACGAGAGGGATTGCATCCAATCCCATTAGTACCTTAGCAACTGCGTTCTTTGAGCTCCATGCTCAGTTGTCTCTTGCTCTGTGTGTGTGCTCATAGATCTAAGCATCCACACATAAACTGATTATCACTGTGTCTATTTTCTCACCTTTTGATGGAGTCTGTCATAGCTCATCTCCAAAATGATTTTCTATAGCTTGATTATGGATCTCTGCTGCTCTTAGCACTACATCACACGAGAATAGAATGCTTTGGTCCTAAGCCTATTATTTTGAAGGGCACCACAGGTTTACAGTCTGCCCCTCACCACTCTAAAATCATAAAAACACATGCTTGCATTTAAAAAAAATTCAAAACTGATTTTCCTTGAGATTCTTGACTCCCACTGTCTAGTTCACAGTTATAGCATTGACCTCACTTTTTTTCAGACCAGCATTTCTTCGCCTCACATTACTACAAGTGCACTACCAAAATAGATGTAATTAACGGAAATTGTCTATAATCCAAGGAGGTGACAGTCATCTACACAAATCATAGTTTTCTTTAAGAATCATGCACATAAAATATTCATTGCCAAATGATAAGTCAAAAAGGTTTATCTACCCTTTCCAATCCTACCTCCAAGAGTTCCTAACTTGACTGATAATTTGGAGACCATGTTTAGGTTGTAATTATTGTGAACACAAATTCTGTACAGTTTTGAATTTTGTTTTTCATTTTCCTTTCTTTTTAAGATGCTGGGTCTTAGACTGGTGAAACCCACCAAAACAGCTGACCTGAACAAGGGGGAGCTCATGGCCCCCAGACTGATAGCTGGGAAACCAGCATAGGACTGATCCAGACCCCATGAACGTGGGTGTCAGTGAGGAGGCCTTGGAAATGTATGGGGCCTCTTGTAGTAGATCAGTACTTATCCCTACTATAGGAATGGACTTTGGGAGCCCATCCCTCATAGAGGGATACTTCCTCAGCCTAGGCCCTATCCCAAAGGATATGACAGACTCTGAAAGATCCCCCCCAAGGGCTCACCCTCCCTGGGGAGCACAAAGGGTATGGGATAGGTAGGGTGTTAGTGAGGGGCAGGGGAGGAGGGGAAGGAAAGGGAACTGGGATTGACATGCAAAACAATCTTGTTTCTAATTTAAATAAAAAATGGAGGAAAAAAAAAGAAAAGGGGAAATAAAAATACAATCCTAAGAGAAAGATGCTGGGTCTTAGGTGAAATGTATTTACAATATTGACTTCCATGTGATCTAGCATGTCTTTTACTTCATGTAAACCTGTATTTTTGGTAACTGTTTAACATATCAACTAAGGTAAAAAAATATATTTGGAATTCAGAAAACAGAGAATGTTTTAGTGAAAATTTGGCCAACATTCCCTTGAAGTTTCACACGACTTTTGAATGAATATCTGTGGGTAGTTTAACCCAATACTACTGGACCTTCTTTCTGCTAATGTATATAAACTGACATCTCTCTTCAAATGCTACTTAATCCAGTATCTACCAGTTAGTTTTTCTCAATAACTATTTGATGAACAAAAAGTACAATAATATAATAATTTGCACCTCTAGGTGTGAAAAACTAAGAAAGCCTAGTTGAGCAAGGATTTCGTGGTCCCACTAGCCACGATATCACCAACTTTCAAAAGCTGTAGGGCCTTAGTCTGATTCTTAAATAATTATTATCAGTCTCTCTAAATTAAATTTTAAAGTAATTGACAGTGCTTTTTGACTTTGGTATTTGAGTCAGTATTTTCTTTATAAACTGAAATATGTATTCATTTTAAATCATAGGATTGAATACATTATCACCATAGAACTTACATTTTCAATTTGAGTGAAAAGCAACAAAGTTCCTTTAATATGTATTCAATCTTTATTGCACAAGTTATGTATGACCTATATTTTTAATTGATTGGAGTCAAACACAATGAACCCATTTCCCCCTATCTCTTAGCAATGAAGAGTATAGTTCAAAGTATACTGCTTCAGAAAAATTCTCAGAAAAATAGGCAATATGGTTTTGCTGCAAAGCAAAACTTATATTCAATAGTGTCAAGGACTCATTCTAACTTTCTGATTAAATTATAAAGAAATCAGTAAGACTACCAGGGTCTGAACATATTCCCCTAAGATTAGAAGGTTGGGCCTAATGAGAGATAATCATAGCATGAGAGCAAAGAGAAATTATGGCATTAGAAATGGGTTGGGTTAATTGTCACAGGAATAATTAGTTATAAAAGGGTTTTGCCCACTCTTAGACTTTGCTGGTCCTAAGATGAAGAACATGAGGGCTTCCTAAGATGAAGACCCTTCATTTCAGATTTCTCAGCTTCTGCACCATGCATGAATCAGGATATAACTATTCATTCTGAATTATCCAGTGTAATATTCTATCACAGTACTGAAAAGGACTATCGTATTCTATCACAGGACTTGAATATCAGAACAGGGTAATGAAAGAAAAAATATATTGACAATGAGTATAATTCCATTACTAGCGCTGAATATAGTAATTAAAGAACAGTGATGTTTGAATTACAAGTTCAAACTCAATTGTGTGTCTCACACATTACAGAAAAAGTATTGTTATATTTTATGAGCATCATAGCACTTCTTGTCTATATGATTTAATTAGTTTATGCATTCATCTGAGAGGATGCTTTATAAAATTCTATATGATTGAATCAAAAGCAGAAACAAATGAGACAAACCCAATAAACAGAATAAACTCCACAATCTTTGAGATACAAAAATTTTAAATGGAATAAATATGACATGAAATAATCACATTTCCTATTTCACTCATCGAGCAAAACTCAAATTACATGAGAACCTCAAGTGTGTCCTCTGAGATATATCTATGACCCATGGAACCACCTGAGATGGAAGTGGTGTTCTGAAAGATGTAAAAAGTTCAACATTTTTCTAGTCTAAACAGTGAGGTATATAAAGTTTAATCAAAACTCCCATTTTACTTTTTAAATGAGCAAAATTTAGAAGCCTTTTGCTTTAATAACATTCCACTCCCTCACAGATATCAGGGCTTCATGACTTGTGAGAAAACACCATCTTGTTTAATTAAATTTCCAAGTTTCTCTATTGTAAGAATACAAGGAGCTGTCTTCACATGCCAGGCACATATGCACAGAGAAAGCAGTGAAGTATGAAGAACAATATTCTCGAATAAAAAGTAATCATGTGTGCAGGTTGTCGGTGTCACATATTTTTCTTTCAACATTACTTACAGGAGCACCTTTTTCTCCAGCTGGACCGGGAGGGCCCTGGGGACCTGGACGGCCTGGCAAGCCAATTGGCCCTGCTGTGCCTGCAGAGCCTCGTTCTCCCGGAGAGCCCTAGAACATGGGAAACAGGATGTCTTGTCATTAATAGTGAAAACAGATACTGTCATACGAAACACTTATTTAACAATGAAAACATAATCCACTAATAATTTTTGAAGCTAAATTTGAAAGAATTTTAATGTCTCAAGATGTAGTTATACCCATCACTTGTGGGATGAAATGCTAATTCTAGTATCAAGTGCAGATATTAACATTAAGAAAATATGATGAAATGAAAGATACCCTACAGTTTGAGCTTCTGAGATGGTAGCTTTGAAAATCTGTTTTCACAACTGTACACAAAGCTATATAAATATGTATCTGGTACTGAACCTTGCATAATTTTATTCTTGTATCCACAAAGGATAAATGTATACCCTCCCTACCCTCTTTACTGCTTGAAGTGCTTTCTGGGCTTCACTTCAAAGTTGCTAGATATTCTTTTTTTTCTAAGTCCAAAAGTTGAGCTCACAGGTTCCCAAATATGCATTATACAGTAAAGTATGCTGTTAGTGAAGACTTAGAACTTTGTTCAGAACCTGTAAACTTATCTTGGTCCTCTAATGACCACTGACCTCATTAACAGTATGAGACAACTCACATCTAATAAGCTTTGCACAACTGACTTTAGAAAAAGACAACTTATATCCATTAACTAATTTGCTATAAAATATACCCTAAATATTTAAAACATAATCTTGAAGAGACTATCTTTAAATTTATCTGAGGTTAAATTTAAGAAAACATTAAGTGTAGGAAATGTGAAAAATGGATATATTAAATTATGCACAGCTCAAGTACAATCTAGTGACAACATCCAGTACTCTCCAGTCTTTGGGTTAGAATCAGAAATGGATCATGAAGCTACAAATTACCATGCTACTTTATGATACAGATGGATAAAAGATATATGATTTTTAGTATACACACACATATAAGTAATATTTCAAAATTGTCCTAGAATATTATTTTAAGATATGTTACATTTGTTTATGCTTGGAATATTTGTTTAATGATACAAAGATGTGTTGCACTCTTTTATGTTGCATTTATTTAATTTTGTGAATCTGTGTTACCTGTTTAAAACTGATTGGTCTAATAAAGAGCTGAACGACTAATAGATTGGCAGTAAAGGATAGGTGGGGCTGTCAGGCAGAGAGTCTAAATAGAAGAAACCTGGGAAGAGGAGATCTAGGAAAAAAGGAGGAGGACTCCTGGGAACCTCCATCCAGCTACACAGCAAGCCATGGAGTAAGAAGTAAAGAAGGTATACAGAACTAGAGAAAGATAAAATCCCAGAGGCAAAAGGTAGATGGAATCATTTATGTTAAGGGAAGTTGGCTAGAAACAATTCAAGCTAAGGCCGACAGGGCATTCATCAGTAACAATAAGTTTATTTGTGATCTAGGAGGCAGGGCTCCCCAAAGAGCCAAAAGAGTAAAAAACAACCAACTAAAGAAAACACCTCATAGTTGATTATTCCAGTAGTGATTTGCTGACATAATAATTACCATATACTGGCAATCATAATATTAAGCAAATACATTTTATTAAAATTGTTCTAATTTATATTTTCATTAGTTAAGGAATTAATTATACTGATAAGATGAACAATAATATGGCTATCAACAATGTGTATTAACATAATCTCATAATTTACTACTCTGTCATTTTTTTTAATTTTCAGTTTGGTTCCAAAGAAATTCCAGTGATATCATGTTTTAAAATGGGGGACTCTAACCTTGGATCTCCCTCAGCACTCTCTGTAAGAAGCCTACTACTGCTTCTCCTCTCTGTGGACTTCAATTCTCAATGGCTACCCCCTGGGAATTCTTTGAATACAATCCCACTAAATTTCCCTAATGTATTCATTGAATTCAGATGATAGATAAATTTGTTCCTTAAATTTCTTCATATTAATTTGTCAAAATTTTTCTGTAACAGAGTACTTCTCAATCATGTATTTTATTTATATTTATTAAATAAATTGAAAGATTCAAGATTCAAATTGATGTTATGGAAGGAAAAATTAGCATGAAAATGTCATATTTTTTCCTCTTAGTTATTTTACGACTAAATGAAGCATTTGATTTATGTTTTTATAGCTGTGGGGGTATCAAACTTAAGGGAAAAAATTTTGAAGAATTCTGTCAAAATTTTAGCTGGATTTATGAGCTAGAATTATATGAAAAATCACAGAAAATGTTTGGCATGTGTCAAAATAGCCAATGAGGAACTGTATGAATATTACCTGTTTAATAATCAACTGTCACAAATCATAAATATGAAAACACAACTGCAAAATAATTGCACTTAGTATTTTCTAAAATGCATATATATATATACATATATACATACAGATATATGCATGTGCATATAGTGTATCTTTATCTCTGTCTCTCTGTCTGTCTCTCTCTTTATATATATATCAATGCACACAAAACATATACATATATAAAAACATACATGGTTATAAAAATAATGACATAATGTATAGATGATGTGCATTTGTTAAAACCTGAGTCATTCAAGTGTAGTCAATAGAAAATTTCAGAACATTAATTGAATATTTATTTTCCCTATAAGTTGTGGCCATGGAATCTAAAGATGTATGTATCACACTAATTGGTGTATTATGATTGATGTGTGATACATGGCTTTTATTTTGTAACAAAGTGTTGGTTGAAAGTAAAGTATTCTTAATATTTAAAATTAAACTAAATATTTTATATAGCCACTTTAATGTGTCTTAAGCAGAGATGGAATGCTGTTTTGAATCTAAGAAACTGTGCAGAGTATGTATATATTATATGTTATTATTAAAAAGCAAACTATTTTACTTTCTGCCTTAAAGCATTTCCAAGATTAAATTTCAGATTATCATCTTGTTTTTGGAGGCTGCATGAAAATTAATAACAAAATATATTACTGTTCTGTAGTTAGAATACTTCTCATGATCTTGTCAGATTTCATCAGCATTAAAATACATGATCAAAGTCAAAAGTATAAGAGCAAGTCCCTTTTCTTACTTGTTATTACAGAAATTCCATAAGCCGAGATATCTGTAATAATGGAAGGCTCAGCAATGATTTTATTTTATCCACAAATAAATGTAAACTGAAAATCTCTGATGGTACCTATTGATTAAACAAATGATGTATAGCAAAGATGGGAATCATAAATACTCTCAGACCAGCTTTGAACAAATAAAACTTTCTAATCCTTCAGTCACAATTGAACCACTGGTAAGGCACTCTCTAGCTTTTTTTTTTTTTTTTTGAGTTTCAGCTCAGTTTTAGAAGAAGGTTTTATTTATACATTCTGCACAATGTATAAATTGTAGTGATACTTCAGAGCATTGCAGAGAACAAAGGTGGCATAAAAATCAGGAGGAGCCTTACTCTGTTTCTCTGCAGAGCTTACACATATCTTCAGGAATAAATGTGAATCCGAACTCTGATGCTTATTCATTGCCAATTATTTCATTATGTTACATAGTTGAGTGACAATCACTATTAGCACAGGAAATGATATTTTTAATTTTTATTTGATACTTTTATATAACTGAAAATTCAAGTCTCATCAAGTACTTAATTCAGACAATATAATACATACGTAATTGAAGTTCATTTTATGACTAATTACTAAATGAAACATTGACTTAGAAAACAAATTCAAACTGCCTTTCCAGGCTTTTCCTGTTCATAACATTATTTTGCTTAAAATTCCAATTTATTTCATTAAGAATAGTAACAGGTAAGACAGTTCTTTATCTCCTGCCAGAACAAATCCTTCCAGCCTCCTAAATTCTGGTGCTTCTGCACTCATTAGTGCTTGCAATTAGCAGAATCCAAGCATTGAGTGCTTTGATTGACACATGTTTATTTTTCTATTGCACACTCCGTGGGATCACAGCATGAGATTAATGAGAGAAGAGCTATCATCATACTTACAACTGGACCCTGTGGGCCTTGGGGACCTTCTCCTCCTTTCAGTCCAGGTGCACCCTGATAAAAGTGAAGAAGAAAAGCAACTGAACACATAAAAATTGACTATAAATAGGCAACATCTGACAAAATGGAGATGGCCGGAAGTGTTTTCTGAAACCAACAAAGCAGGTATATACATATATAGATAACGAAATGCAAAGATTATTATATCACTCCTTATTCCCTCATGACTGAGCAAAAAATTCATCCACGTGCTTGACATGTATGTTGGGTATACCTGGGCTCCAGGAAGACCTCTTTCACCTGGGAAACCACGTATTCCTGCTGGTCCACTTTTCCCTGAGATACCTTGAGGGCCTGGGTCACCCTGAGAGATAAAATACATACTATTAGCAAAATGTAATTTCTACACAGTTTGTATCTAGCACCCTTAATTAAAGAAAATATGTAAGGAGACTTTGAACATCATTTAATTCATTAGGAGTTCATACATATTAAAATGAAATAATGATAACCAGATGTAAGGGTATATGCAAACTGGTGGTATTATGATCAGTGAAATGATTCTTGTGTTATTATTCAGTAATATCTTGAGATGCAATAACCTTACACTAAATAGCTCCATGGCAAATTGTTCTGACATTGAGTGGTATGAAAACGTGTAAAATACGCTTGTAGTTGAAGAAGAGTACACGGAAGCTTTGTGTAAGCAAATGTCCTTGACCTTGTACCTTTGCACCTTCTTTTCCTGCAGCACCAGGAAGTCCTTGCTCACCAGGAGGACCAGGAGGTCCAGGATGCCCACGTTCACCTATTGGACCAGTCTCCCCAGTTGGTCCCTAAATAAAACAAGCAAAGCCATATTAAAGTGTCCTATCATTTTTCCAAATAAATACAAAGAGAACTCAAAGATTACTCTCCTTCACGAGATTATTTTTATTTTTATATTGTTCAACAAAATACTTCCTAGAACTTAATGAAAGTAGTGTACCTGGAAAGTGTTTGAGAAGCTCACTGTAGTCTTGGCGAGAGTGGCCAGAAGTGCCAGGGAACTGTATGAAGTATGCAAGAATAATTTCTTTGTCCAGTAATAGAACTATTTGAGAAGGAAGATAGCCCAGCTGCTCTTTAAAACTCTGTACTTTAAATGACAGTTTTGCCTTATTCTCCTTTTTATACAAGGCGTCTAATCAGCTTCACAATATAGAGACACTGATATCACTCTGGTGCATACTCAAGAAGTCACTGATTGATAATACAATCAAAGTCCCTTGGACCCAAAACAAACGAAGCAGTTTTTTGTTTGTTTGTTTTTTATTTCACTGTTCTGGGAAATCCCATAAAATAATTAATTCATATTCATTTGACAAAGTCTAAGGAATGAAGCTAAGGGGTCCCGGAGTTCAGTCCTACAGTTTGCACCTGAAGCTGTAGTCAAAAGCCAGCTGCCTGAAGGTACAGCAAATGCTGAGGGGAAATGCCAAGTTCTTTGTGTGTCCCCCCGAAGCTGCTGTTTGAAAAGCTGTAGCATGTTAAGCTTTCAGTGTAGAGAGGGAATGGCGACCAGTTGCTCTCCGCTGCCACAGCAAAATAAATGATTTTAGTTAAAACATATACTGAGAACAATTCTAGCAGCTGAGACTCTGAAAGTGAAACACATTACTGCAATTGCTTGTGAGATGACGGCCCCTGCATTTTACTAAAAATACAACACATTTTTAAGCTCTGGACATGGCTAAAGAGCATGTGTCCCTACTTTTTGCGTACATTTACAGGTTTAAGTTCCTTTGTCTGTAATTATGGAAACTCTTTAACTTATTGTTAAATAAGCTAAACATGTGCAGATAGTTTTTCCACAAAGCCATTCTCAGCTACATAATGAGTGGAGACATACCTGAGGTCCAACCACACCTCCTGGCCCAGGGGGACCGGTCTTGCCTTGAAATCCCTAAGAAAGTAAAGTACAATCTATAAAAGCTATAAGCAGGATAAAGCAAAAATTAAAATTCTGCAAGATAATTAAAAAACATGTTAAATGAAAGTTTAATTTTCTCTAAAAATTGTTCTTTTCAAACGTAATGAGATACTGTATGGATTATAAATTTCTAAAATATTCTATTCATATGTAAGATATTATATTGATTCTTTATGCATTTCTAAATATTTAATTTTTCGCATTACAGTGGGAGTATTATTTTAAAAAAACACTGGGTTATAATGGATATGGAATAAAAACAGTGTTCTTGTCACTGTTCTCCCTCATCCAACAACATATAGAATTTTAGCCAAGCAATATTTATGGGTGATATATGAAGAATTTCTATATCCTTTAAGATCATTAACTAATTCTCTATACATAAACGCATAGCAATCTCATGAAACAAAATATAAAATATATTTCTAAAGATAATACTTTTCATGATTAATAACCATATCAGCTTTATCAATATTGTTCCTTAGGACCCAAGAGAACACAAACACATTTTGCAAATAATGTGATCAATAAACATAATCTGGTTGATATGATCAGTGAGGGCTCACTGAATCAGGCTTTGGAAATATATTCTGGAACATTTTCCCATACTCATGGATTGCCTTTTTATGTGATTTTATTATTATAGATTTCTTTCTCAAGTCATATAATATACATTAAATGTTGGAAAAATAAATACAAAAATCTGGAGAGAAAAGTCTTCCGCCCCCAAAAAACAATAAAACCATGAAGTGCTTACACTATTTTTAATCAGTAAAATATGGAAACAGTATGAACAAGAAAAGCAGGAAACAAAGAGAAACTGGTCTTTCTATGTTTGTATCACAACTTATAAATGAGTATGATTTATAAATTATAGGAAAAGTAAAAAAGTCTGAATTTTTCTTACTGCAGTTCATATCACAGGGAAAGAAAGTACATTTCTCCTATTTTTAAGTTTAAGACCACTAGACTTCTACTTGTGCAATACTCTTCAATGGTCAAGATGAAGATGTTCTAAAGAAAATTAGAATTTATTTCTTATTTTATAATTTTAACATTGAATCAACTGGTGAGTTTGAAAATCTATGCTCAGACTACATGGTATGTACACTCACAAATAAATACACATCTACACGTATGTACACCATATGCATGAATATTCATATAATATATGTGCATTTGTAAATGTATGCATGCAGAGGCAGGTGGATCTGTGTGAGTTCGAGACCAGCCTGGTCTACAAGAGCTAGTTCTAGAACAGCCTCCAAAGCCACAGAGAAACCCTGTCTCAAAAAACCAAAAACAACATCACAAAAAAACAAGTAGTGGTATTGAGGAGTATTGGTATTGTTTTGTTGTTGTTGTTGTTGTTGTTGGTTTTTTTTTTTTTTTTTTTTTTTT